CCGGGACTTCCGCGTCTCTCTGCAGCGACCTAGCCCCGTGAGCTAAAGAGAGATCTCTCTTTGGCTCACGGGGCTAGGTCGCTGCAGAGAGACGCGGAAGTCCCGGGTTCGAGCCTCCAGTTGGGATGGGGCCGACCAGATGCGGCAAGGGCGCCTGCCTGAGCCCCCGTTGCGTTACAATACGTTTGGTGTGTGTGTTTCCACTGCACTGTTATTTAATAGGAAAAAGTACATCTCTCGCTGACAACTATACTCGTGCCGGTCTGCGATAGTGTTTCTTTCTCTCCAGGAGATATCGACGTTATTGTACATCGCAAAACCTACAATGGCGATATACAAAAAAAGTACCATTTTCAGCTTTTAGAATTGTCTGTTAAAATTTTCCTGGCTGTGAAGTGTCTATTTTAATATTCTGTCTCCTTTTTTGTACACATCTGGTTTTTACATAAAAAGTTTTTTTTTTTTTAAAAATACTCATTTCCCACGCAGCCGCTCCCGGTTCCCCGCGTCCTCTGTGATCTGTGCGGCGACACTGGCGGACCTGCGCGTTGCGCCGGATGGGTGTGTGGTGTAGTACTGTTTGTGTCCGCCAGGAGGCGGTGTGGAGTCTGCGCCGCTCGCCAGCCGGGAGCAAACTCCTACTGTAGGGGCGCTGAAAACTGACCCGAGTGCGCAGGGCCACAGGGCCGGTAAAAACCGCCACCTCTCAGATCGGCTCTGGGGAGGCACAGAGACCACACCGATGTGGCAAGGCGCGTCCCAAAGACATGGAATAAGATCGGAGTGCAGCTTTGAGGAGAAAGACGTTGTCTCTGCAGTGCATGTTTACCTACCTGCTGTGGAAGGGAGAGAGGTTGAGGGTCTGTGCGCAGCGGGGAGAAACGCGCAGATCCGGACTCGGGGTGCTCTTTGTGACTGCTGTCTCTCTGTCTGTGTGTTTCCAGTCACCCACTCCCTGCGCTACTTCTACACCGGGGTCACTGGGGTCAGGGGGTTCCCCGAGTTCACCATCGTGGGCCTGGTGGACGGGCAGGAGTTTGTCCACTACGACAGCGACATCAAGAGGATGATTCCCAAGACGGAGTGGATAGAGAGGAACGAGGGGAAGGACTACTGGGACAGACAGACTCAGATACTGATTGGTGCATCACAGGTTTTCAAAACAGATTTAGTTAACCTGCCACAGCGTTTCAACCAGTCTGCAGGTGAGTACAAACAGCCCTTTTCTTTTCAGTCTCGCGCTGACGACGGCCTCTCGGGTGCTGTAGATCGATGTTTTCCAGCACCTCTCAGTGGGTGTTATTCGACGTCAGCTGGGGAGTTCATCACTGGGCTCTGACTGAGGTGTACTGAGGGTGTTCGGTGTCGGCTCACTGTCGGGGGTGAGGAATCACTACGTCACATTGGGGGCGTTATCACAATAACACATCTCCTCCCCCTCTCTGTGGAGTTGATGTTCAGCAAGGGCTCACTGTATCAGGTCAGAGCCCTTAACCTGGCTGTCTGACTGGCTGCGATCCAGCCTCTCGGAGTCCCTGAGGAGAGGGATACTCTCTGTGGGTCCTGTAACAAGGTATCGGCGCTCTGGGGTCCCTCTCTGGCAGTCAGGAGTGTATCTCAGGGCCTCGGATCAGACTTGGCTCTCGTTCCTGGGGCAGGCCAGTCCGAGAGCAGCACAGCGCCTGAGACCAGCGGCGTCAGGGCACAGTGCCGTCCTGTGGCTCTAGAGGCGTGTGTCGGCTCTGTGCTCGACACAGAGTCAGATCTCCTGCTCTCTCTTTCCGAAACTCCATTAAGAACTGATCCGGGCTCCTCTCCCAGTTTCAGGATGCTGGTGTCCTGATCTGTCACTCCTGCAGTCCGTGAGGCTGTGTGGGTGTCTGTGGGGTCCTGTAACCCCTTGATTTAGGTCAGGGGTCCCCCACACTGGCCCCTCCCGGCTGCTGGGTGACGCACCTCGAGGGTCACTGTCCTGGGTTATTCACAGCAGGGAGAGGAATGACCACACCGCGCCCCTCTGTCTCGTGGATTAACACCGGGAGGGGTGTGCGTTAAATCACAGTCAGCCCAGAACACGTGCTTTCTGCATCCCTAGACTTATATCTTCACAACAGCCATCGACACAGCCGATGAGAGCTGTTTCTGTGCCTCTTCTGTCCTAAATATACCAGCTCCTAATGCCACCCACGAGTGGAAAACATGCTGGATTTAATTCGCTCAATCATACAGAACACCAGCAGCACCATGGAGTTGAACCCATGTGGCGATGCCTCGAGAGCCGGGGTGCAGTCGCTCGAATACTGGGGCTCCTCGCTCCCGGGAGCTGGGGCTCGAGACCGATGGTGGGAAGTGTGTGAGAGAGGTAGCTGATGTGTGCTCTAGGGCGAAGGAGGGGAAGGGGTGAGAGGTGATGAGAGACGCACATGGAGGAAGAGGAGGAGGAGGAAGGACAGGGGGCTGTCTTGGCAGTGTTAGGGCCCTCTCGTGGTGAACAGGGGGAATTCCCAACACTACATAGCAATTCTTACCTTGTTTAATCTGTGTATTTTCACATTGCTGGGGGGAAGGTCCTATAGTTTTGACTTTACAGATGAAATCCCCTGTAGGAGTCTTCCTGCCCAGTAAATTAAACAGGTTTGTAAATGCTGTGCAGTTCATGACCCCACACTGTGCTGTTCAGTCAGTAATGAGAGTGATCACATGAATACAGACCAGGAGACTCCGTTCTCAGTGATCTCTCTGTGTGTGTGAGATGTGGCCCACAGGGGGCGTCACTCCTGTGTGAGAGCAGAGAGACTGTCACCCTCTGCCCACACTGCCAGGCCCTGCTGCAGGACTCTGGGACTCTGGGAGCTCGCAGCAGGCCAGGGCTGTCAGTCTGTCAGACTCCTCTGTCGAGTGGGGCTCACTGATTGGACTCGGCACTTTTCTGATGCAGTTTTCTGGTACAGCAGCACAGCGCTGGAGCAGAACCAGGCCTCTGTCAGTTTGACTACTGTAGGATTTGTTACAAGATGTCCAGTCCTGCTCTGCAGGCTGTGAATGTCTTTCTGCGCCGTTGTGTAGGACATCATGACCTCTGTTTTCATGTGTTTGATGGCAGAATTGCTTAGCAGGTGGTTGTTTCACAGCCTGGTGAGATGTACTGTGGCTGTATGTCTGTGCAGGTGTCCTTACAGCAGCGTGTCTGACTGTGTTTGAGCTGCTGCATGACGATATAACCCCTTCGCCCAGTTCACTGACCAGGGACTCAGTGTGATAGGAGACTGGGGGGCCTGTCTGACTCTGATCTGGAGGATCTCAGGACTACAGGATGTTAATGGCAGCTGCAGTCACTCTGAATTCCCAGATCTCTTCCCTGTTACTGTCCTGATGGAACAAAGGCCGTGAGGATGGACAGTCCTGTAATGGAGGGCGTCTTTGGACGAGGTGACCGTTCTGTCCAGTCTCCTCTGTCAGAGGTGCTCCTGCCTCAGCACTGTGAAGATCAGATCTCTTTATTGGCCCTATACAACGTCTTGCATTAGGAATTAATCTTTTCACAGCCCCCAGCCTGCTCTCCGTGAGACACACAGACAGGGAGAGAGAAGCTGGGGGTCAGAGCACAGGGTCACCATTGTACAGCGCCCCTGGAGCAGTGAGGGTGAAGGGCCTTGCTCAGGGGCCCAACACAGTAGGATTCCTCTGCCTGCTGCAGGATTCGAACCAGCAACCTCCCAGCCACAGGCGCAGATCCTGAGCCACAGAGCCACTGCGCTGCTCCTGAAGTGACATAAAGAGCTCCAGTGTGCAGCACAGCCTCGTCTCCGGTATCTGCCACGCCCAGCCCTTGGCTCCTGGGGCGCAGGTACCCAGGGGTGTCCCCGCTGATGGACTGGGATTCATTCCGCGGCTCTGGAGAGACTGGACCCTGTTCATTATTCCTCAGTCTCCGTGTACCCCAGCCCCTGCCCCTGATTGAAGCCCGTGATTGTGTAATTGTGAAGTGTGCCCCAAGGCAGACACCTTTCGCACCTGTGAAAAAACTGCCAAATGAAATGTAATGCAGCCTGCATGATCGCACGCCGGGAACTCACAAAATATGCCTCCCAAATCTTTATTGGGTGCACTGCAAACGAACTATTTTGATGTAATTTGGCGACTCAAAAAAGTCATTTGGCTTCTCGATGTTTCATTTTAGGAGCCAGTGGCTCCCAAGTATTTTTTTTTTTTGGCTGGAGCCATGTAAATAATAATATTACATAATTTTAATATACCTGTAAGATTTCCCTAATTGTACTCTCGAGTGATGACCTAGTAGTGACTCTACTAATGGGAACAAGGGATGCTGTGCCTTGGACTGAAGAGTCACTGTCAAGTCAAGTGTTGGTGTTGTTGTGGAGATTCAGAGCACATCACAGAGGTGATCGTCTGTTATCTTAGATCATACTCGGCTCTCGTTAAGCGTCATTAGAGAAAATATTTGCTCACATATGTATGCCGAACAAACTCCGCACTCTTTTGGCATGGCGGCTCATCTGTGGAAATCTGGATTTTTCCAACCCCCTCTGGCAGTGGGAGCAAACACTGGTGATGTTTCCTTTCATCATGTCTCTTTACATTATATTCCTTCATCACAGCAACTGATTCTTGGCAAATGAAACAGACGCACTTGCCTCTGAACTTGGGGGGGAAAAGTATTCATTTGGCCAGCCTGGCAGGAATCTCCTGCATTCGCCGTCAGTTCTTCGTTTTCTTGGTTCCGCCATTTCGAAATTAATGTGCAGAATTCAAGTTTTGAAGAGGGTAAAGAGGAGGAGAGGGGGTAAGCTATTCAGTTTCGAGATGTGATTTTACGTGATGGCAGAAACTAGTGTTCAAAATAGGAGCTGCATTTTTTACTTCATATCGGGCCCAATCTAATTATAGTTCTAAATTAACTCACGGGCCGTTTCAGAAACAGTGGCCGTCATTTGGACACCCCTGGCGCAGGATGTAGGAGGAGGGTTTGTCTTGTGTGAAAAATGAATTAACGCAGCTGCTGTGTGTCCTGCAGGCGTCCACACTTCACAAAGCATGTACGGCTGTGAGTGGGATGATGAGGACGGGACAACACGGGGGTTTCAACAGGAAGGGTACGATGGAGAGGATTACCTTGTGTTCGACCTGAAGACACTGACCTGGGTGGCACCAACGCAGAGGGCCTTCCTGACCAAACAGAACTGGGACGCTGACAGAGCTTTCAATGAGGGAAAAAAAAACTACCTGACCCAGATCTGTATCGAGTGGCTGAAGAAGTATGTGAACTACGGCAGAGAGACTCTGAACAGGAGAGGTACTGTCACTGACCAGGACAGGCAGTGTGGATTGT